AAAACACCTCAGCGTGTCTGGGAATGGAACAAGCAAATGATACCTCAACTTATTTTGCACAATGTCGTCCGTGTTTGACTGAGAAGGTGTCAGCGTCTGTCAGACTGCTTTTTTTTTGCATGTCTGCACATCTGCATAGTCCTGACAGGATTGTGTTACCCAGCTCTGGAAAACAGCTGCTCCACCTCTTGCCATGCAGAAATTTGTTTCTTTCCTTTAACTAAGCTGAATAATGAGCTGCAGCCTGTGGGTGAAAGCTGCGATTGTGTCCTGCACATTCATGGGCTTTCCAGCCATAGCGAATGAGCCAATTACAGCTCAGCTCAAATGACAATAAATCATGTTAGCCAGCTCGTTCTATTGGGAAATAGATAATCATCCGCCGTGCCGTGTCGCCAAAGTCCTATCAAGCAGAAGAGCTCAATTTCCTTAATTTGTGCAGGGTTATATTTGACACTGATTAGTCCTTTGCATTTAACTATTTATTTTAAGTGCTGTTTAAAGAGGAAAGGAGTTTCAGTGTGAAAATCAAAATTGACCCATTTGGCCGTGTGAGCTATTAGTTAATTCAAAACTAATAGCCAGATATTGATTTATTTCGTTATACTTAGGCTACTGTTGTAGATAATGCAGCTTTGCTAATATCTAGCTAATAGTTAACAGTAATTTAATGCAGCTTATGCAGCGAAGAATAGCTAAAATAATGGCAAATGGCAGATTTAAAAAGGAGCTTTAGCATTTGTTTTTCAATTACAATTCAATTGTAATTTAATGCAGAACTTGAATGCAGAACTTTAAACTGAATGCATAACTTCAGGGAGAAGCATTGATTCCATTAACTTCCTCTCCCGTTTTCCCCTGTTCGTGACCAAGATGCTGCATGATCGGGGACACAAGACATGACATGCCCACTGAAAGTCTGCATTAATGCATGAATATTAATAATACTTCATCTTGTTAAGAATCTTGGCTCAGCTCAATGCTTCTCGTTGGTGACAAACTGATGTGTCATAGTTACATTTCACGCTTTGTCTGTTTATTAGGTCAGACAGTTTAAAGTGGTCATAGTGTTTTTTAGAAAATGTTTGCTGGTGTGTTCCTGGTCCAAGGTGGTCTACCAGTGTTTTTCCTCAAAGACTCTGCTAAATCAATACATGTACACTACTGTTCAGAAGTTTTATTTTTATTTTTTTTGATGTTTTTGAAAAAGGTCTCTTCTGCTTTCCAAGGCTGCGTTTATTTGATCAAAAACACAGTAAAAATAGTAAAATATTATTACAATTTAAAATAACTGTTTTGTATTGGAATATATTGTAAAATGTAATTTATTGCTGTGATCAAAGCTGAATTTTCAGCATCATTACTCCAGTCTTCAGTGTCACATGGGAGCATATTAGACTTCAGAAATCATTCTAATATGCTGATTTGCTGATCAAAAAACATTTTTGATTATTATTAATGTTGAAATAATGTTTTCCATATTTCTATGGAAACCGTGAAACATTTTTTTCAAGGATTCTTTGATGAAAAGAAAGTTTGAAAGAACAGCATTTATGTGAAATAGTCTTTACTGTCACTGCTTCCATGATGAGTAAAAATATTAGGTTCTTACTGACCCCAAACTGTAAATGTAGAATACTTGATCTAAACAAGGAAATCATTCGGTACCATGATATATATGAAAGTACCATGGTATCTTCACAAATCCAGCTCGACCAAGATCTACCCTGTCAAAACCAGATGATGATTCATCAAAAGCTGGTTGTAACTGGATTTTCCAGCAGGGTTTTGATAAAGTGGATTTTAGACGACAGTAGTCATGTTGTTTTACTCTTTACTTCAGCTTTGTGCTTTAACCTCTTGAGTCCTTTAGAGAGGATGAGATGAAGTGTCCCGGTGAGGGTGTTTCTTGTTCTTCACCCCTGGCTTTGAGGTGGATTAAAGGGATGGTTCTCCTTCAGTTGCTGGTCCCCATTTACTTCCATAGTATGTAAAAACAAAACAAACCGGTTTCAGATCTCCTCCATCGTTCAGGTCGCGCCTGCTATCATAACTTTATATTAGCTTGCTTTTCATTCACATTAAGTGAGTTGCTCAATCCCTGTTAATTTTTTTTATTTTTTGCTGTTGTTATCCCATATATTTGAGTTTTGCATCATTATCCTAATGTTTCCCTCCCTTCATGTCATGCTATAGTCCACATTGTCCATCATGTTGCATAATTTTGACCTCAGGTTTTCAACAGGCTGTCCAAATGCATGTTTGTCTCCAAAGGGGCTTACTGAAAAGGATATCAAGAAGAAAGATGTTAAGCTTCGTCTGTGGCGGGTTTTATTTCTGTTGGTAATCTCTGGTGGACCCCTATGGTGCAGTGAAATCAGAGATTATGGTTCATAAATGACACTAATGTATCTGTGAGATGTGCTCTGGATCAGACCACATCATTGCCTTGTTGACATTACAGATAACTAGAAGGACATTTAACTTTTCTCCATTATACCACAGTAGGGCTGTAAAAAAAAAAAATCGAATTTCGAATATTCGTCGAATTTAAAATAAAAATCCACATTCGAATGCAAAAACGTTGCAAACATTGTTAGCCTATCCAGTTGAAGCCACTAGATGCGGCGCTGCTGCATTGTTAATTTACAAATATTGTGGGAAAAGAGAACATCAATGCGGAGAAGATCTTGTTTATGTCAAAACTGAAACCAAGCTGTTCACACAGAACGCATATTTTGCGCATTTTCTAGAGGGACATCTATCACCGTTGCACTCGCGTCTCGCACAAAAGAGCCACATGTTTAGAAAGCCATGTAACATTTTCTAGAGGGACATCTATCAGCGTTGCACTCGCGTCTCCAAAAGAGCCACATGTTTAGAAAGCCATGTAAAATTAATGCAAGTTTAACTTTGAAAAAACATATCTCGAGACTTTGTGGCGGGGGTTTTTTCCCCATCCCCATCGTGTTTTTAAATGAAAAATATACTCTGTGTGATTGGCTTTTGGCCCTTTGTATTAAACCATGCATACATACATGATGCTGTTTTTTTAATTGTTTAAGCAACTTAATTAATTATAATTGGTTTATAAACATTATTTTAAACATTATGCACTTTTTTCACAGATAGTCATGTTATCTTATGCTTTGAATAAACGTGCATTAGTAATATTTTGCTCGATGCGCCCTCTTGTGGCCTCAGGAGAGAAGCCAAAAGCTTTTCTTCACCCTAACTGAAATTATGCATTTTAAATTCGAATATAATTCGAATTTTGATAATATTTAAGTACAAAATTCGAATTTAGTTTTTCAGCCATTTTGACAGTCCTATAATGCAGAATTAAAATAATCCATATTTAATTTAATTTTATATTTTATATTTCATTTCATGAAGCCTATCAAGAGCATGTCATATTTTATTCCAAAATCAATAGAGAAAATAATTTATAAAGTATTTAAAATTAAGTTGCTATCAATTAAATAATTTATTTTAAACGTTTCTTTGTTGTTTGGAACAGATGATCATTTGATTATCAATTGTCATGAAAATAATGTCACAATGCAAAAATCTTAATGGTCCTAAAATTTGTTTAGTTTAGTTTAGTAAGAAGCCTATCAAAATCATTTCATATTTTATTCTAAAATCAAAAGAGTCAAAAGAAAAATAATTTAGAACGTATTTTAAATTAAGTTACTACCAAATAAAATAAATGTATGACCTTATTTATTTATTTATTTATTTGTTTGTTTGTTTGTTTGTTTGGAACAGATGATCATTTGATCATCGATTGTCCTGAAAATAATGTCACAATGCAAAAATCTTAATGGTCCTAAAATAAGCTTCATTTTCTAAATGATCATTTTGACGATGATGATGATTATTATTATTATTATTCAAAAAAAAAAAAATTCTGTCCAAATAATGAAAATATTAGCAAATATTGATTTATTTATTTACTTACAATGCAAAAATGTCACAATGCAAACATTTTAATGGTCCTAAAATTTTAGGATGGATTCTCTTTAATGGCATTTAATTAATGAAAATAATGTTATTAGACCTAAGTTGAACTTAATTATCTTTATGAAAAATAAATGACCTTGTTTCCTTTTCATGAGGTGAAATATTTATTTGTTTGTTTGTTTAATGTTTGGAAAGATGATCTTAATTGTCGTGAAAATAAAGTCACAATGCAAAAATCATAATGGTCCTAAAATTAACTTCATTTTTTAAATTATAAATAATAAAAATATTAGAATAATTCTAAGAATAATATAATTATTTTTATTTTTTTTTAGGATGGATGATCTTTAAAGAAATTTAATTTTAATAAAAATAATCGCAATAGACCTAAAATGAAATTCATTTTCTTTATGCAAAAAATATGTATTTTTCCTTTTTTATGAGGTGAAATATTATTATTATAATTATCGAGGACAGTAAATGCAGATATTGTCTGCATCAGTTCCTCTCTCTTATCAAATGTGTTGTTGCATTAATCCTCAGGCTTTGATCTTTAGCTTCTGATGGCACACTTAATCTGAATTATGAAGCATAGATACTCGCATGAATCAAGACCTCAGAATGAGCCTTTAAAGAGATGCTAGTGCTTCATATCAGCATTCAGCATAAAAGGCTTTTACTTTATAAGTGAAAGTGCAGATAAATGGGTCGAGACTCAATTTCTTCCTTCCAGAAAAGAGCGAGCCCTCAAATCTCCTGCAGGGAGGGAGAATTTCATTGCCAATAACTTAATATCCCAATGGATCCATGTATTTTTTTATTGAAAGTATTGAGTTTTCTCATAGACTGACAGGATTTAGTACTTTAGGTCAAACACTCGTTTGATATATATTGAGCAGACTAGTAAAAATCCACTGCCTTGTCATAAGATTTTGATAGTTTGAGGCAGGAAAATGTCCTTGCTGTTTAATGCATGTGTAATACATGCGCTGTTCGATTCCTGTACTAACAGCTCTGCTCTCTCGTTCTCTCAGTTAACTACCCTGCGCGGGGCGATTCTGGAGGACGCTGTGCCCTCCACGGCGAGGCACGGGACGGCCCGCGGTCTCCCGCTGAAGGAGGTGCTGGAGTACGTGGTTCCTGAGCTGAACATCCAGTGTCTCCGACTGGCCATCAGCTCACCCAGAGTCCCAGAGCAGCTCCTCAAACTGGACGAGCAGGGGGTGTGTATTAAAGAGCTCAAATACAATTTGATGAGAAAACGATATTCTGATATGCATATTAGGACTGCACGATTTGGGGAAAAAATCGAATTGTGATTTTTCATATAAAAATTGCAAAAAAATTTTTTTACTGAAATTTAAAATAATTCCAAGTTTGTTGTAAGTAAAATTGTATTTATACAGCACTTTTAAAGCTACAAAGCACAAAGTGCTTTACACAATATAAAAACACAATCATAAAAGATACATTTATGAAGAGCTATGTACAATATATGATAAAGCAAAAAAAGATCAAACCCAAAAATACACAAAAAACATCACAAAATATTAAAAGCACATCTATACAGGTATGTTTTCAAGCGACATTTAAAAACAGACACACATTCACAAACACGTTGTGCTTGTTTGTACTGTAAAGCTGCACAATTTTACCAAAATTTGGTGAATATATATTAATATGTCTATAAAATAATAATAATAACTAATATTAAATAATACGATCAATAAAATCATAAAAGATAAGATAATAAAATCAATGAAAAACACATTATTATTATTATTATTATTGCTACTACTACTACTACTAATACTATACTGCTACTACTAATCATATTAAATAAAACTACAATAAATAAAATAAGAAATAATTGCTATTGTGATATTTCACTGTAAAATAATAATAGAGTATTTAAGAAAATTTAATAATAATTGTATTTTACATTATATCTGTTAAATACAAATATTTATGTCTGTCTTAATTTCCTCAATTTCCAACATTAAACCGCAGAGAGCATACATTTATTATTATTATTAATAACAATAATAATAATAATAATTAATACAAACTAAAATAAGAAATATTGCTATTGTAATATTTCACTGTAAAATAAAAAGAGTATTAAAAAAAATTATAATTTTAATTTCACATTATAACTGAAAAATAAAATACTAATATTTATGGCTGTCTTAATTTCCTCATTTTCCAACGTTTAACCATCAAACTTTTATTTTGATGGAAAACCGCAGGGAGCATATATTTATTTAATTCAATTGCAGCCTTTGCCATTGTTGTACTTGCACTAAGTCATTTCATTATGAATGTGCAATTATGGTTTTATTTAGATTAATCGTGCGGCCCTAATGCATGGTGTCTTTTATTAAAGTGCTTTTGCTGATGTTTTTTTTTTTTAACGATAAGCAGCATTTATTGTTGTAATGTTCAGGGTAGTGGTCTATCAATATGAGTTTTTCATTGACTGATTCTTGAACATTTTTAAAAAATTTTAACATATGCTTTGATATACTGTATACTTTGTTGATCAGAACAGGCATAATTTAGTCTGACTTTAATGCAGCATTGCATCTTTAGACTACATTTTAAGCAGCCTTAACTCGCTGTGTAAAGACGCCTAAAGAATAAGTGAAGTAACCGTTTCTCACAATCCAAATATATCTGCAACACAAGAGTACAGAAAGTGTTCATACAAATAATGCATGGTCATGTGACTAAAAATCACCTTGCAATTGGTCTCAGAAACACCGGATGTCGAGCTGTTTTTCCCATGTCCACAGGCTTTCAGAATCAGCCAATATGATGTTAAGGGTCGATCAATAACAGCTCCAGTCGCCCATTGATTTCCCAACTTTGAGTGGAAGTGTGAATGAGGTTGGCATATATCCGGAATTAAATTTTATTTCATACATAGAGACGTTCCATTCCCGCCCTCTCAATAATGCTTCATAATCGTCTTTAAAGAGAAGTGTTTCTTGAAGATTTCTTTAGTGCTAAATATAGACCTTGTGTCATATGAATGGAAAGCCCAGTAATTTCTTTTTGTCTGGTTATATTCTTGTTTTTGTTTTTTTTTAAAAGAAATTAATACTTTTGTTTAGCAAGGATGCATTAAATTGATCAAAAGTGACAGTAAAGACATTATAATGTTACAAAAGATTTCTATTTCAAATAAATGCTGTTCTTTTGAATTTTCTATTCATCAAAGAAACCTGAAATATAAAATCTATCATGCTTTCCACAAAAATATTAGGCGGCACAACTGTTTTCAACATTGATAATAATCAGAAATGCTTCTTGAGCAGCAAATCAGCATATTAGATTGATTTCTGAAGGATCATGTGACACTGAAGACTGGAGTAATGATGCTGAAAATTCAGCTTTACATCACAGGAATAAATTACATTCTAACAGATATTCACATAGAAAACACTTTTTCTAAATTTTAATATTATATCACAATTTTACTGCTTTAACTGTATTTTTTAAATCAAATTAATGCAGCATTACTGAGCATAAGAGACTTCTTTCAAAAACACAAAACAATCTTACCAAGCCCAAACTTTTGAACACTATGTCTTAGTATTTCCCTGTGATATGAATGTCAGACTGTGGATTCACATTGCCACGTGTACTGTGAATCTTTTATTTCATTTTTATTGTCGAGACGTCGTAAGAAAAATCCCCAGGGTGTTAAGTCTCTCACACAAGAGACAAAAACAGAAAGAAATAACATTCCATTACTGCATAAAATGCACTTTATTGATCTCAGGTTCATGTTTCTCTGCAGAAGCGTGTAAGGGTTCGTCCCAAAAGAGTTGTGTTTTAGCGTAGACCCTGCGTGGGATCCCATCTGAGTCAGTCGAACAGGAAACTCCTGTGCATTTAGTCATGCACGTTACAGCGAAGCAGGGGAGTCTGGGTAACGAGTGTCGAAATGCTATCAATTAGAACAGACCTGATATGTGTTATTTGTACTGGTGTTTATAATTTAGACGTCAAGTTTTGGCACAAACCACTCTAATTTCCTGCAGAAATTGTATCTAGTTATTTTGCGATTTTGTAGTGGCACTAAAATTACAGGCTTTGCCTTTAAGGAAAGGCTGTGTGGAGATGAACGGGGGTCTTCATCGCTGCCTCTGGGGAAGCAGGTGTGAAAAACAACACCTATGTCACATAATGTGCTAATGACCCCCAGTCTGCCACCCGCGCGTACAAAAGAGCCTTACCTCAGGCTGCTGCGGGACAGTTTGCTGCTCACTCGATGGTGACAGATAAGGAGAAGTGAAGCCTTTCATTCCATTTCCCGTCCCTTTTTCCTCTCATACTCGTGTGTGACCGTGATTCCTCATGGGACGACAGAATCAGTGGAGGCTTAGCAGAAACAAAACTTCTGCAGCTAAATGCAACAGTAGGGTCTGGAAGTGAAGATGTCATTCGTTTTTCCATCCAACTTTAGTAGCATTTAAGACAAACCATGAAGTTAAGCAAAAAAATTATAATGTATTTTATACTAAATATTTGAAATAATGCCATGTGCAAAGATGTAAACAGAACACTGCTGATTAAGAGCAAGAGCAGGGCTTGGACAGGGCTGTGTGCTCATAACGTTATAGATGTGAATCTGACTCCTGATCGCTGTTGCATGTGATCATCCTGTCCCTCTATATGCGCAAATATTTACTCTAGGTTCTTACTGGCCATTCACACAGAACATGTCTTCACGTCTAAAAACGTGAGATGCAGCGTTCAGGAAAAATGTCATACACGCCCGTATAGCGCCAACTACACACACAGTAGTATGTTTTTAAGGGGAATGTATTAACAGGATTTAAAAAACGAAATAACCGACATGGGAAAATTATGACCGTTAGAGGTTCTGAATTTTAGTTTCGATTACTTTTACTTTTAGAAAAATCTGGCAGTAAGTTTTGGGAGCTCCTTTTTAGTCCATCTCCTATCCTGAAAAGTCTGTCTTGCAGAGATGGACTAATGCCGGGTTCAGACTACACGATATTTTTGTCGGTCACGATAGTCACTGTGTCAGATTACACGATTTTGACTCCTAAAATCTTGTCGTGTCGTGGACAAGAAACATGTCAGACTACACGTTGCTTCCTGACCATTCATCGCGTGCAGTCTTTAACGATGCGCGTGATGTCATCGAGAAGGCGGAACTAGCGACTGACTTCCGAAAACAAGAGTGTAAACATTGCTGAAGCGCTTCCGCTATAGTTCGCCAGCATTTTTCTTTCTTTGTTCTGTCGTGGTAGTCCCTCGATGACACATCATACAGGCAGGAGTACTGTTGCCACAGCTCCACGAACCTTTCCTCCATCTCATAATTCCTTCCACCTAGCAGCACCATCATCTCTCTTTCGTTTCGCCATGTTTGAAACCTGTGTATGAAAGAGCTTCTGTGCTGCTATTGGTCAACGTCACCAATGTGACGGAACTCGTCGTGGACGACGAAAAAAAAATCAAACATGCTAGTCTTTCTGTCGTGATTTCGTGAAGCATCGCAGACGCGGATTCGGTTGTCGTCCACTATGACACTACACGAGCTGAAACGATGGAATTGTCGTTCACGGATCCCCACAACACCCTACGTCAAGCAAATCGTGGCAAAATCGGGCTAAAATCGTGTAGCCTGAACTGGGCATAAAAATTAGCTCCCAAAACTTACTGCCAGATTCTGGAAGATCAATTCTTGAAAGAGTGGTACAAGAGGATGTGATGCTGGTCCTTCAAGAGTCACTCTCAACTCATCTGTCCATATAGCCTATAAAAATCTTTATGTATTTCACAACACTTCAGCATGTTATTTTTATTAAGTGAGGGTCATTTTTTAGGATTTTTTACCCAAGCAAAGTCTCTGAGAACCAGACACCTTGTAATTCTGGACACTCAAGACCATTCATCGCGTGCCGTCTTTAACGATGTGCGTGATGTCATCGAGAAGGCGGAACTAGCGACTGACTTCCGAAAACAAGAGTGTAAACATTGCTGAAGCGCTTCCGCTATAGTTCGCCAGCATTTTTCTTTCTTTGTTTTGTCGTGGTAGTCCCTCGATGACACATCATACAGGCAGGAGTACTGTTGCCACAGCTCCACGAACCTTTCCTCCATCTCATAATTCCTTCCACCTAGCAGCACCATCATCTCTCTTTCGTTTCGCCATGTTTGAAACCTGTGTATGAAAGAGCTTCTGTGCTGCTATTGGTCAACGTCACCAATGTGACGGAACTCGTCGTGGACGACGAAAAAAAAATCAAACATGCTAGTCTTTCTGTCGTGATTTCGTGAAGCATCGCAGACGCGGATTCGGTTGTCGTCCACTATGACACTACACGAGCTGAAACGATGGAATTGTCGTTCACGGCGCCCATTGTCGTTTACGAATCCCCACGACACCCTACGTCAAGCAAATCGTGGCAAAATCGGGCTAAAATCGTGTAGCCTGAACTGGGCATAAAAATTAGCTCCCAAAACTTACTGCCAGATTCTGGAAGATCAATTCTTGAAAGAGTGGTACAAGAGGATGTGATGCTGGTCCTTCAAGAGTCACTCTCAACTCATCTGTCCATATAGCCTATAAAAATCTTTATGTATTTCACAACACTTCAGCATGTTATTTTTATTAAGTGAGGGTCATTTTTTAGGATTTTTTACCCAAGCAAAGTCTCTGAGAACCAGACACCTTGTCTTCTGGAGACTCCAGGTAGGTTGCAGTTCTGGAAAATGGTGGTGCTGGAGACTAAAGGGTTCCTGGTGGTTTCACACCCAATTCGAAAACCTGCTTAATAAGGAGTTTTTCACTTCCAGCCTTCATGGACAATTATATATCACTTATAAATGATCAAATGCAAAATTAATAGTAGTTATTAAGATTGATGTGGTTTGGAATTGGTAAAATGTGCTTGGAAAAATTTTTTTCAGAATATCAACGTGCCTAATAATTATTTAATTCTTTTGCAGTTAACATGTCTCTTTTCTTCTCCACCTGTTTTTTCTGACCCTGCTGACCCAATGAGCATTTCGCTGTCCAATGGTCATGACTTAACTTAGTATTGCATTAGTATTGCATCCTTCTCATAGGCATTTAATAATTTTTGACTTTTAGTTCGAGTTAAATCTCTTTTTTGCCTCATTTTATCTGTAAAAGAAAACCTGCAAAAGTGTAAAATATGTATGAAATATATAAAAAACAAATCTATTTAAAAAAATTTAATAAATAATTTTTACTTTTTAAATGTATTATATTACTTAAAAATATTATTAAATATTATTTCTTAGGTAGGCAGCTCACTAGGGTTTATAACAGAACTTTTGACTATTTGATTCTGTTGAGATGTAAACCGTCAAGAGGAAGTGCTGTTGGCTCATGTGACTGCTCACGTTATATTTGCCCCTCTGTGTTTCTGACTCCTGCAAGCATTTTATGTCTTCTCACCGTTTTCTTTGTCTAAAATCTGCCTGTTGACCGTATATCAACCCATTCAGAATGTGTCAGCAGTTTGGATGTCGTCATTTGCCTCTTTTATAACTCCAGTTCACTGCACTCATCCCTGTGTATGTGTGTGTGTGTGTGTGTGTGTGTGTGAGTGTGTGTGTGTCCTTCCTGAAGCCAAGGAGGGCATCTCCTCTGGACTGCATTAGCGTTGCTCGAGTAGACACCGTGGAAGTCACTGGCTGTTCCTAGGTTTCCGAGTGCGAGGTCGCCATGACAACAGTATGGATGCACGCTGGGAATACTTGACCCTCGTAAGAGAGCGGAGTCTGACTCCTGCCTCATCAGCCGCGCTCGGCGCATCACAACTGGGTTACGCTTGCGTAAGGAGGAGCGTTTGGCTGTTTTTTAATCGTTCATCACGACTCAGTGCTGGATTGTGACTGATTGCTGCTGTTTTCTAGTAACTGTAAGCTGTATTTCTGTCACAGCTCACTTCTGATCAAATGAAATGTGGGAAATTCAAGAGACTGATTGGAATCATTAATGTTGAAGTGAGGAAAACAGGTGGTTTGCTTATCTTAACCCACTCTTTTGATGGTTTTAGAGCGGTTTGAGCACTTTGTCAGCTAAACTAGCTTAAACTAGACCAGCAAACCACCTCAGGCTGGTTTGTTTGTTTTTATTATTAATTCAACATTAAACCGAAGTAATTCACGTGTAATCGACCAGTCTCTGTTATTCTGTTTCCACCGCAACGGCGCTGGTTCTCGTGCCTGAGCTGGAGTCGTGTTCGGCGGGGAACTGCTAACACCCTGGATCTGAGTAACACTAAAACTACCCAAACATTGGGTTGTTATGTCTGACCCAGGAGCTGCAAAACAACCCAAACACTGGGTTGTTACATTTGACCCAGGAGCTGGGTAACACAAAAACTACCCAAACACTGAAAAAATAACCCAAAAAAATGATTTTTTTTGGAGTGTATTGTGCTCACTTTACAAAATAGCATTTACTTTTTCTCTTACAAAAAAGTGTATGTGTATGCAATTTCTTAAATAATAATAATAATAATAATAATGGTTTTATTATTGTTATTATTATTGTTATAGTTTAAGCACTGCACTGTTTTTGATGTTAAATATTTTTTGTCTCATTTTGCAGATTGTTCTGCTTATTCTATACAAGTAGATTTTATTTTATAGATATAACACAGCAAAGCAAGCAGAATATATCTCATTTATTTGCTTAGTGTTGTTATCATTATTTAGATTTTATTTATTTTTAGTTAGTTTAAATAAAATATAAATATTAAATGACCATTTTTTTTTTAAATGCTGCTTTGGCAACTAACTGGAATACGTTTAAGTATTACAATTTTTAATGAGATTTAACTGGGAAAACTGAAATATTTAATTTCAATTAAAATAATAATTTGTAAAAAAAAATAAATGAAAAGAATAATAATTTAATAATTCTTAATTAGAATTTAGAAATATAAAAAATCCACAATAAAATGTAATGATTTAATCTAAAATTAAAATTAAAACTGGAATATGAAAATAAAAGTAAATTCAAAATATTATAAAAGTGCATAAGTACATAATTAAATAACTAAAATAACACTGCCTCAATCTAAACAAGAACATGTATGTTTCCAAAGGAAAACACACACACACACACATACATACATACAGTACATATGTGTGTGTGTGTGCATGTAGTAGTAGTTTGAGAAACCTGTTTGGAAGCGATAATTATTTCAAAGTTAAATGAAACATTTCACCTGTAATTTCACAGGTGAAACATGACAATCCCACAGACGCAGGTTTTCCACTCGGCTGTTGTTGAGTTTATCAACGTAATTTCCATAGTGATGATTAAATCCGCATGAATTTGTAGTCCTTGTTCTACCTGCTGAAGTGATGTTTATATCACAGACTGAGCTCTTCTGAATGGACTCGTGTGAAAATAAACACGCAGCTGCCTGATGAATGCAGAGATGACCGTTTCATTCATGACTTCATCTGTTTACGTGCCTGACTGATTGGTTTTAAACTGTTTGAATTACCCACAATCCCTCTTTAAAGAAGGAAGTAGCCTCTGTAGCACTTATTGACCTCGAGAATGAAATGTAATCTGTGTTTGATTGCGTTGCAGCTGAGTTTCCAGCACAAAGTGGGCGTCCTGTACTGTAAAGCGGGGCAGAGCACAGAGGAGGAGATGTACAATAATGAGAACGCCAGCCCGGCGCTGGACGAGTTCCTGGATCTGCTCGGTCAGAGAGTCCGGCTGAAGGGCTTCACCAAGTACCGAGCACAGCTGGACAACAAGAGTATGTGCTAATGCTAACACCATCAACATACAGCACAGAGCATATCAGCCTCAAACACTGGACACTCTCTTTGCTGCTTGATAGCACTTTTCCACATTTACAAAATTATATATATATATATATATACACGCACTATTATTTAACTATTTATTTATTATTTACTTAATTATGATAAAAATAGTAATTATTATTATTATTTTATTATTATTATTAATAATAAACAAACAGTGTATATTGTGCTCAAACATTTCACAAAATAGCACTTTTACATAGTGTGTATACTTATTTTATTTTATATTTTATTTTATTGTATACTTTAAATCTAAATTTATATTTATAAATAAAATGAATATTATTAATTTTGTGAAACTCTTTTTCCCCCTCAGGTTTGAACAATTTAAAATTATTTCTAACTATATATTCATAACTATATATTAG